CGTGCGGGAACTTCTATTTCGAACTGAAGTTAGCAATTTTTGATACTAGCTGACCAGCTGACTAGGTTAGACCACAAGGGGGCTGATATTCAATGCTCATCAAATTTTCTAGGATAACAACACAGTAAACCTACCTCGGGTATTCCATTCGTCAACTGAGATGCTATGCAAATGCTGCTGTTGTTTTGAGCGGAATTTCCAGTCTTCGACGTAACACTGCTGAGCGAACTGCGGAAAACATTGCCGGAACAGCTCCAGCCATTTGTTCTCCAATTCGGCTGAGCTGTAAAAATTCAGATGAGCTCTCAGAGGCAGTTCTCAAACAAGGTTGTGATTCTGAACACTGCCGACGCTGAAACTCACTACATGTCCATAGGTTCCGCGTCGCTCTTGTGGGCGTTTTGAACATGCAGCTTCAGTTTCGAATGAAACGCAGCGGTCGTTTCACAATGGGGACATTGCCACTGAACGATGATAATGAGCATCGATAGGAGCTATGACAGGTCAAAGGAGGAAAGAAATTTTGAGAACAAAAGTAGACTAGCAAAAAGTCATGTTTTGGAAAGGGTAACAACAGCTGAAAGTGCAGTAAAATTTTGAATGCGCAAAGCGGTAGATTTTCGGCTCAGCCCCTTCTGAACTGGATTGACAGCAAAGCTTCCTGAGGGGGGGGGGGGGGGGGGGGGGGACGTGCAATTAGAGATCTTTTGGTACAAGCGAATGATCTACCAATATTTAGAAGCAAGTGCACTCCCTGACTGAAGGTGGAGCTCACTATGAAAAGACAACCCTCTGGAAATCAAGGCAGAGCTAGTTAATTATGCAGGGATGAAGGAGAAAACTGAGAAAAACGGTCTGGAACCCGACAGATGAAACCGTTATTGCCCGTTGATCCCGCGGATTTGCGCGCTAGGCTTATCTCATTGGTGCTAACCTCATCAACGTTAACACTCGCTCTGCTAGACCGGCAAGAATCAGACCGCAAGGCCTGGGGGGCCCCCAGTGTGGAGGTGAGCGGGGCCCGTAGGTGGCCGGCCAAGGGGAGAGCGCGGCGCGAGTGGCGCAGGTATGGTCCTGCTAGCGCTAGGATCATGTTCGCTGCGGAACCCGCAAGATTCCACAAACTTAAGGGGCCGTCTGCCTTTTTACTGTATCCATCCACTTTTTCGACCTCAACCTATCACGAAACCCTCCTTTAAACTGTTCTTAGACCAAAGCATATGTGTTTATGTGTATCTTTCCATCTTTTGTCTATTCAAGCCCGGATTCTCCTCTCCGAATATAGCGCCTCTATTTTACCCCCTTTTACCTGATTTCTTCCTCAGCGAAAATTTCAAATGAATTGTCCAGGATATCTTCCCATGTCTCTCTCACGCTGATCTACTCCTCCACCTGCGTATAGGCCTGTGTAATGCCTATGCAAAACTAGATAAACAATTCAAAAGAGCCGCCATATTCACACTGAAACACTATCAACTGCAGACTAGGCAAGGTGATACTGACAAGGGGAGGGGGTCTTTCAGGGCAAGCCGCGCTTTTTGGAAATGGTTCCTTGCATATTGTAGGGACGCATGTATGGACCACAAAACCATGTTTCGTTTTCGCTGAACGGTTTTAGTAGTATCAAAAAAGTGGTGAATGATACCCTTGATGGTTCGATCCCCCGCGGCGACTAAATTTTGCAATCAAGGTTGGCGGCCACTTGTTGGCTCCAAAATGGACGGTCCTGACGATACGAATATGACATCTGATTTGACATTTAGCGCGATTTGGCAACAATCGGTAGGCGCCAACCCAAATGCAAAATTTAGTCGCCGCGAGGGATCGAACCATCAAGGGTATCATTTGATACTATTATACTGAATCCGTTCAGCGAAATTGAAGCAAGGTTTTGTGTTCCCTGCATGCGTCCCTACAATATACGAAAAACCCTTTTGGAAAAGCTTGGCTTGCCCTGAAAGATCCCACTTGTGAGCACTTCCGCATGACCGTAGACCAATGACATCGAGAACAAAGACCGGCTCACGAGCGTAGTGACTATTTTGGAAAAGCCAAACGCGAAAAAAGAAAGAGGATATTCACGAACTTGTCTTTGAGGACAGTGAGATTTGGCATGACCGACAAGCATTGTTCGCTTGCTCTCCACTGGCGCTTTGCACATCTGGAATATTTTGATTTGAAATATGAAGACGGTTTGGTAATTATTGAAGCTTCAGAGTCAAAATGAAAACACAAGCTCAAAACCACATCCAGAAAACCAAAAGCGCCCACTGAACATTGGGAAAGCCCCTGCTTCACTCACCGCGCATTCTACTCGACTTCCGAATCGTTCGACTGATAGTGAGTTATGGTTTTTGCGTATAGGAGACGGTTTCTATAAGTATAGATTTATATAAGTGAGATAATGGAATCAGTACAAAACTGCTGTAAAGCTTACAATAGGGAGAGGAGCGTGTTGATTGTTTAACAGTTCGAGAAAAATTGTTTGGAATGGATCCGGTAACATCGGAGTGTCTTCGTTGAGCGGTGCAGGAGGCTAAAATCGCGGAAATAGCTTGATTTCTGCTATATATAGAAAACGTTCAGCAAATACTTTGAAGAAATGCTAGTATCCTCTGAAAGGGATATTCTATGTGATGGAAGAAATGTGGTTGGAAAAACAAATCGTCAGAACTGCTCCATGAATTCCGCTCCTTATCAAAAGAAGAACAAATTATGCAAAGGCCGAGATTGCGATAATCGAGTGCTAAATCCCACCCATGTAACAGTACAAAACGGATAAAATCATATATCTATCTATCAATCTATCCATCTATCCATCTATCTATCTCATCCATGGTTAAACCCTTTATTCGTCTACCGTTGACTGTTTTTAACCTTCATGCCTACTCTTAAAACCCAGGTGTTGAACATCGACTAGTCCCACGATCAGGAGAAAATGAGCGACGATCAACGAGGTAGGATGAAAACTCAAATGAGCCTTTTTCTTCTGGTATAACAACATAAAAGTCCCTGAAGCTCGAGATTGAAGCAATTAGAGGTGAAGATTTGGAGAAGACGGTTATCGGACTCATTCGAGGGATAAGCTTGTAATGACGAATGGTTGACGTGTCGTTACTGTTATTACAGCGAAACTATGCGGTCCCAATTCCTCGTTCTTTGAACCACAAACCTTAAAGCTAGCACGACAAGAACACCTTCCATGATATTTGGCAGTTTCTGCCGATCAAAGACCACGGCAATGTGCGCACGTTTAAGTAGACTTGCTAAATAGATAGATAGATACTAAAGAGCACTATTACACTTGAGTAAAGACACACCTTAGGCGGCTTGAGGTCAAAACATGAGGTAGAGTCGGCGACAGTGTTATCGGCAACAGTGTCGGAAAGCGAATTGAGTGAGGTCGGCACTGAGAGCAGTACGGACGGATTGAGTTGACGGAAACCATAGAGCATTTCGTCGACTTCGTCTTCAGGTAGCAGAGCTGCAAATACAAAAGCATCTGTTTTCATCATGTATGGAACTTGGGTGGGAGACAACGTAGAAGCTTAGTTGGTATTGCTTTATGGTATGGCAGCGATTTTCTCACAGCTCTTCGCTGAAAGAGGCAAGCATTTGTGGTGCGGCAAACGTGGAAAAAGGCGAAACGACGATTTGTTTAACACATTCACGCCGATGGCCGCCCATGTGGGCTGCCAAAACATGCGCTTCCTGGAACTCGTAATCAAGTTAAAATGCTTTTAAATTCCTTTCACGGGGGAAGTGAATAAATGCTCTCTTTTCGTAACCACTATTTGTCGTTCTGATCGAAATCCTACTGTTATATGTTTAGATAATCTTTACGCATTGGACATTGCAGAAATTATTTTGTGACATTCATGTTTTTGTTCATTTACAAAACAAAATCTGCGGTTATGTGGTGAGGCGGCGCGCCCACAAAATCGCGTCCGTCCCACGCGACCGAAAAGTGGAAAAGGGGCGTTCGTAAATGCGTTAAGATCTGCACCTAATGGAGGAGTTCTGACGCGACGAAGCTGCACGGCTAACGATTTCAGGGTATTCTTAGTCGCTAGTGGTTCTTCTATCTAAAGAAGTAGGCACTATTTGTCACATGTTGTTCGAAGGAACAGAAGTATTAACACGTTGACGACAGCGCGCGTTTTGGTCATTTTGGCCGCGATGGACATGTGCGATTTTGCTAGCGCGGCGGCCGCGGGACACATGCGTCCTGCGCTGTCTCTCGAAGGTGCGTTTTTTGGAAATAAATGGTTTAATTACCCAAGTTTGAGGCCTGCACCCTACACCGCGTGGCAACACAAAGGCAGAATCGGTGGTCAAGCGAAGTATCCAAGTTTCGGGCAAAAGAGAAGTCTTGCGAGCGTAAATGGTGCATCGTCTACACAACGGACCCAGGTTGGTTTGACAAGTTCAAGTTGTCGATTAACTTGTGGCTGACTAACAAGGCTGGTCAATACTAGCGCCTCATCTTTTCTTGGGCAACCTTTCCCTCAGCATTCTTCTTGGGGAACCTCAAGGTCTTACCGGGCAAGTGATCTGGTCTTGGCACACTTTAGTACGGGAAAATACTTTTTCTTTGGCACAAAAATATGGCTTCCCAACTCGCCAGTCATAAGCGCTTGCTCACTAAGTATTTGAACAAAATTGAAGCGGTCATTGCTCGCTTCAAAAGTGAGCAGCTGGACAACATTAACTGGGAAGAACATGAAATCTCCCCCGTTTTCCTCAAAAGTAGTCGAAGGCGGTTAGAAGAAGGGTTAGGCGCGCTCGAGACCTACATCTCGCAAATCGAAACTCGTCTTCGTGAATACGCTTCCTTGATGGATGCATCTGAAAATCCATTAGAGAAGGAATCGGCCGACTTCGAAGAATACGCAGCTAGGGCAGAAATGGTACTAGGTAATGCCGTGGATTACACAGTACTTCTTCTCGCAAGGTTGCGCGCTCTTAAAAGCGAACCGCCTCCTCACAGCCATACATCGGAATCGGCCCATCATAGGGACCCAGCAATTACGCCTACCAGAGTGGATCTCCCGACCTTACCAATCCCCACCTTTAGCGGCAATATTTGGGAGTGGGACAATTTTTGGTCTCTTTTCGACGCAAACGTACACTTCGCAAGCTATACCGGACTTCTTCAAATTTAATTACTTACTGCAGGCCCTGAAAGGTAATGCTTATAATGCGGTAAAGAAATTTCAAGTTACTGGCAGAGAACTACCAAAAAA